GGCTGTCCGCACGTGCTGTACCACGTGTCAGGTTGCATAAATCGCGGACGCGTACTCGCGAAAATCGGAAGAGCGGTTTCATTAAGAAATCAGACGAGTCATGTCGGCACGTGACGGTTATATGGCGCACGTTAGACTATGATCGGCACAACGACGCGTGCAATTACTATAAAGACAGCAGCGCGCCAAATTATTGGCGGTTGTACAGCTTCGTCCTGCAAGTCTGCCATTGGTTTCCGACGCGCGCATTCGGAAGTATTTCTTTAAGGAGGGAGGGGAATGCCATACTTGATAACTCTACTGACGAAATGCTGACTGGTTTCTACAAAGTTTACGTTGCATTTGGTTGCACAGAATTACAAGTGCTTTTGCACAATGAGATTATGTGCAATAATGAATTGGAGCATTGCTCATCATGTGAGGAAAACGACAAAAAATTTTTAAAAGCGAATCGAGCTGTCTTTTGACATAAATATTTACTTGATACAAAATATTGAGAGAAAAAGTGTGGTATTTGGAACTGTAATAGCGTAGTAAAAAGATTATAGTTAGGAATATCATTTTTATAGTAAGTGTCACTATAATGTTTGTAATATTTATAAGCATAGTATAACTGACTCATGTAAAACTTTTACCAAGAATTATAATTATTTGAAATAAAAAATCTAGTAAGGTAGCAAATATTGAGTGGTAAGAGAAATTAACTATTTTATATAGTCAATACAATTGGAATATTTGGCAAATATAGATACATATAACTATATTCCCAAAGCGTGCTTTATTATACACATAGAATAATAAGATGATGATTATAAATCTATGTTCATTCTGCTATATCTTCATGTTTAAGTGAATTATAAATATATGTTTGAGGCTAAAACAAACTATAAAATATAGTGAGGTTATGGTTATTACAACTATTTTTTTTCTCTCAGTGTACTGCGTATGTTTGCTCCGCCAACGGAAATTTCGAGGAACACTAATTCCGCATTTTTGCAACTGAATTTAGAAACTCAAAAGTACACGAAAAGTTTGCAGAAAGATTTCTATGCATGTTTATGTGTTTTGCCGGCATGGTAAAAGCAGCACATATTTTTATAAGATTATATGCATAAGAAAAACAAAAAGAATAGCATGATCATGTTAATGACGATTGTTTCTACTTTATCGATATTTTTCGAGTTCGTCATCCACTTTGGCATCCCCTAAACTTCTTATCGAAATCCTAAAGTGATCTCTCTTCAATAATCCTTATTTCTCAGATTTAGAGTCCTAGATAAATAGAAAAACGACATTGAAAAGAAACTGTCTGATTGGCCAGTTGAATCACGCGATTCAGCGCCCTATATTTCTTACCATAGTGAACGAGTAAAGGTCAATGATACAGCAGAATATACTCGCAGTTGACGTTACAGCGGAATATTCACAGCAGCTTGATGTAGTCAATCAAAGTTACAAGCAAGCAGCTATTAATTATGACGCTTACGAAGTACTTTTATTGATGTAAATTTTTATTCTGCACTAACTTGCCTTGATTTCTGTCTGTCACATATCACCTTTCAATATGGCCAGCGACTGAATCCCATTGGCTAGACTGCCGAATATGGAGAAACAGGATGGCGACTTTTCGACATATTGCACCCATCAATTTTCAATGTCGCTTCTCTATTTATTATAGAACCGTATCCAAATTTTGGTCTCGTTCGATTGATCTTCCGCTGTCTTCAGAGAAATCGCCACTGTCTTTGATATTTTTAGTTGGAAATTTATCGCGCTCAGCAATTTCAAGCGATTATCAATTTTAAAGAGCGACCACATACACGTACATGTACGCGGCTAAGTGCCGTTATCTATGGCATTAGCAAATGCCATCGGTGCCACGTGCCTTATCGACAGATCCGCGCGTTCGTCATACGCACGGTGCTTCTAATCGGGCACCATGTTTTTTGCCTTTCTCACCCACGTATAGCCGATACGTAACCGATCGGTTCGTGCCTGAGAACAAATACGTGGAGCGCATTTTTCGCGGCTCGTGAGCAGCGCGTCTTCGCTTTGTTCGTCGATTCGCGCGTCAAGAGTGATCGTGGCGCGCTCACGTGTGCGTATTCCATTGTCGCGAGCTCGCAATTTTCGTGTGTTCCGTCTCAAGGCTCCACCAGACGCTGGTACCTGAAGAGCGCACCGTTATACATTCGCCATTCGTATACGCATCGCGTCTCCCATCGACCACGATCGCCCTGCCATTTGCATGTTTAGCGGACGGCGGGAGGTCCGGTCGTTTGCTTCCGACGACTCTCGCTGAAATCGCGCCCATCGATTCCTTCCGCGAAGGGACGAGAGATATGCCCTCTGCTCTTTTACGATCACCACGCTCGGGAGGGAGAGAGAATGCCAAACAGAGGCGCTTGGCAGTACGTAAAAAGAGCGAACGATCGGCGGATCGAGCGCCGATGAGAATGCCTATGGCGGATCGTTAATATTCCGATGACGGGCCGGTCCGTGTCCGGACTGCGGATCCGCGATGACGAAGGCCGACATACGCGATCTTTACGCGGTGTGTATTTCCGTGTCGGGGTACATACATTATTTACTATTTCCTAGTACAATCCGCGAGTGAGAGGAAGACACTCGAGTGCGATCCTCGATGACTTGGCATCTTGCCGAGCGCTACTGGAGCACCAGGTTCTTAGGATCTCAGGTCGCTGAGAATGAAACTCCTTGATTTTATGCGCTGACGCGTTGTCGAGTTGCTGGTTTTCTTAGACTTTGAATATCATATGTTTCGCTGCAAGAGCTAACAATCACAACAATGTATTTTTACTGAACCTTTCGAGCATAAATTCGATGGTGTAAATTTGCACTATTAAGTTCTTCGAAAAGTAATTTTTTATTTACAATTAAATGTAAATCAATTTTTCGCTCTTTTATTACTTTTTAGCGGCTTTATTGTCAAATTTCTGATCTTCTTTTCTTATATTGAAAAGATAAAAACTTGGAATTAATCAACTTTCTCTCTCTCTCTCTCTCTCTCTCTCTCTCTCTCTCTCTCTCTCTCTCGGAGCCGATATAAAATACTTATAAAATACCCAAAACAATTAACATTTACTTGAATGTAGTACGTATATCACACAGAGAAATAATTACTATAAATTATGGTCAAGAAAAATATTTTTTTTTAATTCTACTATAATGTTAGTGATAATAATTTTAAATGCATGTTATTGCTACCACTTTCATGTTAGAACAATCAAAATATATGTTTGCCAAAAATAACTACAATTTCCATATGTAACAGTGCTGGCTATTAAACGACTCAAATTTTCTCTGATTAAAATAATCATCAAGTCAATAATTAAAATTAATCAATTGTTGTATGTGTAATCAGGAATAATTTAATCGATTAATTATTAATCAGAACATAATTGATCATACCAAAGTTTGATTAATAATTAAAAAATTCATCAATCGTTGAGATTACTTGTGATTTTACATGTGACTTGATTGACTAATTTTGATTGTTGAATTGCCGATTATTTTAGTCAAAAAAAAAATGATTTTCGATTCATGCCCGAAATTGCACTGAAGTCCAAGTTGATTGGCCAATCAGTGATCCATCGTGAGACGGGAAGATCTCTCCACATAGTTGGTGCGCAAATTCGATCAATACGCCCATTGTTTCTTACGTCTTGTGTATAGAATGATAAAGAAAGTGTAAGGTGACCAAAACATTTCGGCAAGCAAGTGTAATATTTGCACAACATAAACATCGTCTAATACGGACCAAAACATTGGCTCTTTTTGAACGATAGAAGCGAGTTTGTAAACAATTTCAATCATTCACGGGTTCGCTTCGGAAAAGACACAAAGTACTTGCTTCGTCACACACACAAAGTGTTGCGTTTCAGCTATACTTAGAGTAATTTTTGTATGTATGTATGTGTATGTGTGTGTGTGTATCGAGCGCGATATATTTTTTCCGTTTAAATATGTGTGTCAAAGCGATATTTATCGCTCGGCATTGAAACTGACGTGTTCTAATGGTCTGTATGCTTCTATAATTTCTATAACGTAATTTCCATAACGAAAACTAGCGTATCATGCGCGATGATGTGTGACAGCATAAACGAGATGTGCTTATCCTCTTGTCCATGAAACTAACGCGTGGAATGTAAAAACTCGGACGAATCTCTCGTTTTGCCGAAATACCAGGCGGAATAATTCCCGTTTTAATCGCTCCAACGTTCCAAATCGTCATTATTCGCGGCCGGCAAAACAAAAAGAACAGGCAAACAACGATGCTCCCGAGTTCTACGTGTACAAGAGCGCCAGATAAGACAAAGTGATACTTCGGCCGCGCGTTTACCTAAACAGATAATTACTTCGTTATCGCATCATGTAAGCGCAAGGAAGTCTGAGCAAAGAGTCCGTGTCGCGTACGCAGACACGATCTTTCGTAGTCAACGCAAAAAGGAGAAAATTCACGCGGGACTCGCGATAGGCCAACCCGATTTTTCACGCGGCCTTTTACAGAGTCACGACGTCGCACAAATCGTGTCGCAGAGATAACCCGATATAATCCGGCATTATCAGTAGATCCAAAGATAACCGTTTCTTCGGAATATGACACTTTGGCGCGAATCGAACGCGCAAGTATCTAAGGTACGCGAGTGCACACACACACACACACACACACACACACACACACACACAGGTGCGCGCGAGATCCTGTATTACTCATGTGTGACACACCGCGGGGGATTACATACTTCGAAGCGTCCTTATTTTTCCTCTCTTTGTTCCTTCCACATATCCATGTGTGTACACGTTCTACACCTCGCGAGCAAGAACTTGTTGCTTGCAGCTCGTACGTTCGTTACAAGTCGCGAGAGTTAGTTAAAAAAAATCGCCCCCGACATTACATCTGCCACGTCGTCCACATCTGCGGGGTCATCCGCAGCTTCCTCCCCCACGTTGTTCAAGAAAATCAAAGCCTCACTTACCGCTGCGGTGTTGTCGCCGATCTTGACATTGGCTGGCCCCGCTTCCGCGTTCGCGTACAAAGCCAAGAGTGCCATCGCCATTAGGCAGCCGTCGGCGCTTCGCCGTCGCGAAACGATCTCGCTCCACCTGGTCATAGTTCCGACCTGACGCGGCGCCTTGGGTTTGTTCGCTGCTGAACCTCGCGCGTTCCCGCGCTTCGAAGTGCTTCACCTGTCCTTCTCGCGCAGCTCGGACGCTCTCGAGTCGCTCTCGCGACCGGTCGCACCCTGAGAAGAGACACTGAATGCGCACACGTGCTTCACCCTCCCTGCGGAAGACACACTCTCTCGTGCTGGTATAGTAGCCCGCAGGATCGTCGCAGCGACGTCAGGCGAGATGATCCGTACCGAGGAGGATCGACCGAGTGTGACCGCACGCGACTCGGCTTTGGAAGACCAATATCCTCTCTTTTGGACAACCTGCCTCTGCCCCTCGTTCTGTCTCCAAGTCTCGATCGCGAAGGCTCCTTTTCACGAAGAGGGTTGCGATCTCACGACGCACAGCCGTTCTCAGCGGTGGTACTGGCGGAACACCACCGGCTGGCAGAGTGGTCTGAACCGTCGTTGCCACGACACTATCGATCTCGTGGTGTTTGCCACCGCTGGTGGTTCGCCGCTGGTGTAGGCTCTTTCGCTCTGTTGCTCCGAGCGTGACTCCTCGGCGTGTATGTGGCACGCACCTCGTTCGATTTTCACCGACGTAGACGACTCCGTTTGGGGCCGCGGAGAGTTCGATGAAACGATCGAGCGCAGCGTAGACGAAGGATAAGGGGTCGCTGGTCGAGAGGGAGGCAAGGAGAGATCGATAGTAAAGAGGATGGATCGCTTGCGGCGATCCGCGTCCGAGGGAGAGGAGGACCGACTAGAAGCGCGGGTTCACGGAGCTGGTGCCGGAGTCCACCGTCACTCTGAATCATAATCAGGCCGCACAGTCTTTTATTGAGGCCTCCCACCACACTTCGCGATTGCCACGGTCGCCAATCGCGCGCGGCGCTCCTACACGTGTACGCACATGTTGCGAAGCTTAGTGCGTGCGCGTCGACAGTTAGTCAGATCGGGTGCAAAGGATAGCCGATAATACGAATTTTGTGTCTCCCCTTCCCTCCCTCGCTTGAAAGATCCTTGTCGATCATCCCTCCACTGACTTACCGTTCGACACACCGATACCGTCCCGCGGTCGCTTTAGCATTGCAAATGATAGCGTTCTCGCGATTTTTCACTCGGAACGAAACCCATGGAAGAACCCCTGAGTCGCGTTTATCGCGTCTATCTCTCACAGGTGGTCTCTCCGATTTTCATCTCTGACAAATGATTGTGAAAAATGAAGTTGCGACGATCGCCTGATAAGACAGCAAAACACTTCGCTATCACGATTCTTCTTTTTTTCAGAATTGGGCGTTCACGCGTGGATCGTGATACTCTACCCTCACACAGAGAAGAAGACACGGTTGGTGATTGTACAGTAGACGGTTATATGAGTTTCGTATGCAAAATAGTTTAGTGAACTATACGCATTATAGTTCCACATAGAAAACTCGTGTAGTTGTTATCAGTGATGTAGTTGCTGTGTTTTCCTCTGAATGTACATCTACTTATAGATAACGTAAACTATTTATGATATATAATCTATATACATAATGAGTAATCTATGAATGTAAGATCGTATAAGGAATAAACGAACGCGTAAAGAGAACGTTCAATGAACGTATGGCTTGCTCGAAAATTAATTAAGAAAACTTTATACTTTATATGGTTTGTGTATTTATATTTTTATGTAACCTTCTAAGAATATCTTGATGTAAGCTTATAACCGTTGTCTTCTGAAAAAGTTAGAAAATTCTCCGACTACCTTCTTATCTTCAGAGTTAAATCTGCTAATTTGTCACGTACTGGAATGGAAATTTCATGCACAACTTCTTATCCTTTTTAAACATTACATTTATAATTAACACCTGAAGCAATTACAGTAATTGTTTCATAATTTAATTACTCTTTTTCGTATATTTTAATATGAATTGCAATATTCTACATAATTTACATTATCTACGTGAAAAACGATTGCGTTACGTAGAAAATACATAAACAATTCGCGTAGACATAATCTTAAAATCTACGGCACAACTTTGCTTCTTTTTACGACGGAAAATGGATATTTGCTGCTTGCATGATATCCTGACGTATTCAAATGTTTAGGCTATTGTGTCAAGACGGAGATAGCCAACACCTCGGGAATTTCGGCATGACTCTGTGAGTCATTTAGATTTTAGGCTCCTTTCCGTCCTAAGGAATTCCTTTCGCGCGATGCCGACGACCGCAACTCCGATGTCGGCTTGGAATCAGTGTATGAATCGCGAATGTAGATGAACATACGAACATAACTCTTCAATATGATCATTAAGTCACGTCCAACTGCATTTGATTTGATTCACATGCTCATTTCCATAATTATTGGAGCGTGAGTAATTGCTATGCGCAACCGTTTGCTAATTAAACGGCAGTTTGTTTCGGCCTATAACAATAGATAAGTAGATAAATATGCGATAAATCTTCCCTCTCGGTTAAATGCACCGACAAAGAAATATCTATGTATATTAACCGAAACCGCGAGTCGTGAGCGAAATTTGAATACAAACGACCAACGAGTACATCGAACGGATGAGTAAGCGTTGGTCTCTTTGGTGTTCGCAATTGCTATCCTGCGTTTCATCAATGAGTAAATAATAAAGAAGTCTTACTCATCATTCTCATTCTTCTTTTTTGCGATACGATCCACCTGATGTTCGTGTTTACATTATGATTTCTTGGTCTGTCCACGTTGGACTTCGGTTGCAGACGGTTTACTGTAAGCAGCAGTTTACTAAAAGCAGCAATTCCCGGATACAGGAATCCTAATTCTGGATATCTTTGTTATTCTTTAAATACAAATGTTTCAATTTTCAAAATGTAGAATATGCGTTATATATTTAATATATATATATATATATATATATATATATATATATATATATATATATATATATTTTTTTTATGTTAAAAAGTTTAAATATTCGTATTTAAAGATTAAAACAATAAGAATGTTCACACTGAGAGAAAGAAATGATTGAATTGACTAAAATTACAGTTATTTTTGACCCCACCATATTTTTTGGTTGTTCTAATGCGAAAATAGTAGTAGTAATATGTGTATTTGGTTATTATATAAAGCAAAATTTATTATAGGAAAGAATTATAGGAAGATGTAAAGTAAAATTTTATTAGGGATTAGAAAACAAGATGCCTGATAAAATATGAACGAACCAACATTTCGGTTACTAGAATTCTGTTCAAGTTAACAAGATTCTGTTTAACCAAACACGATTTCTGATTAACCAGAAATCTTATTAATTTTGAAAAGAATTCTGGGGTAGCTTCAACTTGGAATTTCTGGTTTGTTTATATTTCAGACATTTGGTTGATTCAACAAAAATTTTTTTCGTGTAACATTATAGCAGAATTTAATAAAAAAGTGTTTGATTATAATCCACAATAATTGTTTTTCCGTGTGATTATAGTCACAAACATTGTTTTCTCAATGCGGGATTAGGTACATATCTGGGCATTGGTACTTTTAACTTACAAGGAACACTAGGCAACTCAAAAATTCAAAAAATTCTGAAACTTTGTGTGCAAGTAAAGTAATTCATCCGTAACACAAAACTATTTTTTGTTCATGCGGAATTACAGTTTTAGGAGATAAAACATCCTTTTGAAAAAATCGATTTTTTTTTTAAGCGAATATCATCGAAATTATAAGAAATAGAAAAAAATTTCTGAAGTGAAAATTGAATGATTTTAAGAGTATTTTAGAACTATAATAAAAAAAAATTTTTTTTAAATTGTTTATTGTATACTTCCAATCTCACCCCTATTTAAAACATTTTTTTTTATTATAGTACTAAAGTATTCTTGAAATCATTTAATTTTTACTTCAGAAAATTTTTTCTATCTCTTATAGTTTCGACGATAAAAGAAAAAACCGATTTTTTTCAAAGAGGTGTTTCACTCTCTAAAACTGTAATTTCGCACAAACAAAAAATAGTTTTGTGTTACGGATAAACTACTTTACTTGCACACAAAGTTTCAGAATTTTTTGAAATTTTGAGTTGCCTAGTTAGTCGTTCATAAGATTTTCCACGAGGTTCCTCTTCTTACGCGAGCGAAATATTTCCGTTTTTTTGTTCCACACGAACGTGATTGTCATGAGAATTCTTGCCGAAAGGCGCAAACAGGGCATCGGCGCGCAAATCTGCTTTCATTTCAAGAAACAAGAAAGAGGTATGCAAGGGTAGGATCTCCGTACCGCGCGAGGACCTTATTTTTATCTCGACAAAAGGTAAGAGATATCTTTCCTTTGAGCCCGTACCCACATGACCCGGAGATTCTATCATCAGTCAGGAATGCATTTGCATTAATTCGTCCATTCGGTCTTAAAGTCGTTTAAATGCAGACGAATCCAGCTCGTAATCCTATTTGGGATGTTCCGCGAACCCGTCAGCTTCAATAAAAGTTTTCGCATGCATAGGCTCCCTCCTGACTCACTGGATAATACTTTAGGGGAGAAATTTCTCGGCTGTTCTCAGATTGACTGATCCCTGTGAAGAATATTATTGTATCAGTATTTTTTTTCTTCTTAATTATGAAATAATTGAATCAAAGTGCAGCAACGCACTTCAAAGAGATCAAAAGTTTTATTTCCATCTCTGTACCGAGTAAGGGAATCTCGTCTTGGAAACAATTAACTTCTGCGAAAATTTACTATGCAATGACGCGAGTGTACACTCGATGAGCTACTTGTTAGCTATTCATGATTATTGTACGTGACGATAAGGGCGCATAGAGATTGTGCTTGCTTTGTTAATTTCTGCGAATCGATAAACCGCCAGATCTAGAGTTACAATGTGGATCTGAGAAGCTTACTTTGCGGGCTTTAACATGACGTATCACCCATTATGATCGATTTTCTCTACTTCGCGCACATTTATGAGTCAAATGAAGAATTTCTTGTCGTGCACACGACAGTTTCAAGCAGTGTTGGGCGCTGATCGATTAAAATGTTAGCTGACTGAAATAATCGTAAAATCACAACACTGAGAGAA